CTGTCCCTCAGCTCTTCAGCTCAAGGCAAGCACTCTACCACTTGAGCCACAGCACCACTTCTGGCTTTTTCTGCTTATGTGGTGCTGAGGAATAGAACACAGGGCCTCATGCATGCAAGGCAAGCGCTCTACCACTGAGCCACCTTCCCAGCTCCTTTCCTGGTTATTTTGAAGGCAGAGTCTCACAGATTTCTCTGCCTGACCTGGACTTGGATCGTAATCCTATGGATTTTAGCCTCCTCAATAGTTAGGATTACAAGTAAAACCACCTGGCCACAGCAACGCTCCATGGCTGTTGGGATGTAGGTGTGGGGTGTGGCTGATAGAGATGCTTTCCAGGGCCACACTTTGAGCCTGGCTGGCCCGAGCACTACTGCCACCTAGTGGCAGCATCTAAGAACTGCCAGCCCTAGGGAATAACTGGGTACCAAAGAGCCTCCAACATACAGGGTGAGGTACTGGCCACTCGCTGCACTGCCCCTGCGCTTCCATTTTACAGCTGAGAAAAACGGAGGCACCAAATTGAGGTCATGAAATCATCCCGTCAATACTTTCTGAGTGGTAATCAGAGCCACTGGGAGGTGATTAGTACCTGCATTCAGAATGGGTTTCCGGGTGGAGGGGAGAGAGCGGGTGGAGATCAACACGGTCCTGCTGGTCTTGGACTCCAGCAGCGGGCTCAGGGTGGTGCTGCAGGGAGAGGAGCCCAAGGCAGGAGTGAGCATCCGGACAGAAAAGCAGAGTGCATGCGCAGGGATGAGGCTTTGTCTACAGAGCATGCAACCCGAGGCCTGGCACACCCAGGATCTCTGCCTGCAGTCTCTGCCAGGCATGGCAAAAACAGGGACTGGGGGGCTTTCCAATCCTGTAGCTCACAGCTGGACACACATTCCCCGAAATGACCTGTGGGCCCTTCCAAGGTCACAGCCCCTCCACCCGCGGCCAGGCCACCCCTAGGTGTCCCCAGATGTTGCAGGCAGAAGATGGGGGGCATCACCTGGCAGGTGTCTTGCTGTTTTGGGGGGTGCTGTAGTCTGGGGAGGTCCCCAAGGGAAGCGGCTCCAAGGTCGTGTCTCTTTCGGCCATACCTGCAAGGGGGTGGGGAAATCTTCGAACCAGTGCCAAACAGTTGGGGTCTTTAAGAGAGACAACCGGCGGGGACCGGTGAGTGACTCAAGGAGCTGTTTGTACAGCAGGGCTTCTGCCACTATCGTTGAGATGATTGGGCGGCTTTTTCAGGAGATCAAAGCAGAGAAGCTGCGGCCACCCAGACCTTCTGATTTAAGAGCAACCTGAAGTCTCCTAGTGGTTAAAATGCTGCCTTAGAGCTGCACCAGTGGATCATGCCTGTAGTCCAAGCTACTCAAGAGGATGAGAACTGAGAAGCATGGCTCAGAGCCATGGCTGGCAGACAAGTCCATGAGACTTTCATCTCCTGTAAACCAGCAGAAAGCCAAAAGTAGAGGTGTGGCTCAAGTGATAGAGATCCACCTTTTGAATGAAAAAATCCAAGCAGCAAGAGCTTGAGGCCCTGAGTTTAAGGCCCTGATGATGCCTAGAATCACTGACTTTCCACTTCAAATTTCTTTCTTTTTTAATTTGCGAGTCATGGGGCTTGAACTCAGGGCCTGGGCACTGTCCCTCAACTCTTCTGCTCAAGGCTAGCACTCTACCACTTGAGCCACAGCTCCACTTCCGGTTTTCTGTTGGTTACCTGGACATAAGAATCTTATGGACTTTCCTGCCTGGGGTGGCTTTGAACTACGATTCTCAGATCTGAGCCTCCTGAGTAGCAAGGATGACAGGCGTGAGCCATTGGCGCCCACCACTGAAAACAGCTCAGAGGTAACAGATGCACCATGTATTCATCCATCACCAGCGGACAGCCTCACGTTGTCTCCAATTATGGGCTGGGATAAAGGCAGCTGCACACGTCTTTCACGTCTCAAGAGCAAGCACCAGGAGGGCCAGCTGGATCCTTGTGCTGGCCACACGGAATGTCTGTGAGCCCCAGCCCAGAGCTGGGCACCTCGGATCTGACCCAGCCACCTTGCTATATGGACAGAGAGAACCATGGAACCCAAACTCGAGCCCGAACGCAGACGTCCCAAGGGCCAGTCCAGAGCGCTCTCTGTGGGCCACATTACCTCCCTCCTAGGTCTGGACCAGCTCATTTGCCCAGCTGAATTACAATCATGTTAGGAGACAGAATACAAATGGTTTCAGACCTAAAAGGTCTATAAAGCTTTCCTCCTCCTCCTCCTCCTCTTCCTCCTCTTCATCATCATCATCATCATGGGGCTTCAACTCAGGGCCTGGGCACTGTCCCTCAGCTCTTCAGCTCAAGGCTAGCACTCTACCACTTGAGCCACAGCACCACTTCCAGTTTTCTGGGAGTGACTGGGAGATGAGAATCTCACCGTCTCATGGGGATTTGGGGTGCCCCGGTGTGAGTCTGGAAGCACACGGTGACCATGTGAGGAAAACCTTCATGGCTGATAGGAAGGCTGGAGTGTGGCTGGGCACTGCGTACTCCAAGGGCACCTCAGGGCTCAGAGTGGCCCTGATTTGTCCTGCTGACAGGTCAATATGTCATGGAGCAAGAGACGCCTCCTTCCTCCCCGCAGCGGCTCTCCCACGCCCTCTACCGGCCAGCATGCGCACCACATGCGCTCACTGCAAACGTGCTTTGAGATCCACTCCTTTAACTGGGCAAGTACAGGGGGTGAATTAAGAGCCAAGACGATGCACGCTAGTGAAAGTCGTTTCCTGTCCCCTGACGTCAGCTTCTTTTGCACAGCCTTCTGTGCCCACCGTACAGATGTAACGGTGTCTTGTTTTTCTGTGGACACGTGTGTTTATGCATCCTGACCTGCAAAGGGCTGGTTTTCCTTACAAAGCTGAAGATCTCTCACCCATACTCTTAGCTCAATGTACCAATGCCATGGCCTCAATTCAGGGCTTCGTGCTTGCTCGGCTTGCTGGCTCATAGTTGGCCTCTACCACTCGAGCCACGCCTCCAGCCCTGCGTTGTGCTGGTTGATTGCAATGGCATCTGGTAGATTTTTCTGCCCAGGCTGGCTTTGAACGTTGACGCTCTGGATCTCAGCCTCCTGAGCAGCTAGGATGAGAGGTGTGGGCCGCCAGCGCCCCATTCATTCCTACTTCATAACTAAGGACTCTGCTGAATATGCCAGTCTTTGGGAAGGGGCTTCCTTAATATCTCTTCTTCGTGGTGGGTCTTCCCTGAATAAGGAGAGAGTCCCCGGCAGGGAGTGCCAGCTCCAGACTGGCTGCCCCATCTCCCCCTAGACCTTCCTCCGGAGTCGACAGCCGGCCAGCTACCGTACCAGAACAAACACACCGGCTCCGATCCTGCAGGACTGATGCCCATGTCTTGCTATGGTCCCCAATTCCCACCCGTGCTTCTCGGTCTGCACCCACAACGGAGTGACCTTTCCTCTACTTGTGCCCCTCGTCCCTAACCTTCCAGAACTTTGTAGAAATTCCCATTCTCATGAGCCCCTACCTCCCTGCCTCCACCCCATGAATCAGTGGTTTATACGTGTCTATCACCACCCAATAAAGCAGCCTTGCACACAAATCAAGGTTGGACCAGCCCAATCATTTCAGGAAAATTTTTTTTTCAGGGGGTCATTACTGGGGTTAAACGCTTACCTGTCTCGCTCATTTGGCTGGTGCTCTACCACCTGGGCCACACCTCCAGTCCAGCTTTTTGCTGGTTGTTTTAAAGGTGACGTCTCATTGACTTTTCTGTAGGGATGGCTTCCAACTGCAATCCTCCAGATCTCAGCCTCCTGAGTAGCTAGGGTTACAGTGAGCCACCCACGCCCAGCTGAGCTTTATCACTCAAGGCTGGCTCTCTACCCCTTGAGTCATACCTCCATTTCTGGCTTTTTTGGTGGTTAATTGGACATAAGAGTCTCATGGACTTTCCTGCCTGGCATGACTTCAAACCATAGTCCTCAGATCTCAACCTTCTGAGTTGCTAAGATTACAGGCATGCGCTACTGGTGCCTGACCAAGACATGCTTTGCTTCTTTTCTTTTGTCGGTCGTGAGGCTTGAACTCTGGGCCTGGGCACTGTCCCTCAGCTCTTCAGCTCAAGGTGAGCGCTCTACCACTTGAGCCACAGCACCACTTCTAGAGATAAGAATATCACGGACTTTCCTGCCCAGGATGGCTTTGAATCTCGATCCTCAGATCTCAGCCTCCTGAGCAGCTGGAATTACAGGCATGAGCCACCAGCGACCAGCCAAGACATGCTTTTCCTAATGACCAGAGCCCCCAAAGAGAAACAAGACAAACGTTTAAAACCTGCTTTAGATGAGCCAAGCCCAACCTGCCAGTCACAGGAAGGACAGAAAGAACAGATCCAAGCCTGATCTTGCATCAGGGAGCTGGGGGGGGGGACCTGTAGGCATGGGCAGGGGTCACCCCTCCACCACAGCACCCTGAATGCAGGCAGGGACAGTACTCCCACACAAACCTGCCCTGGGGCCCAGGCCTACGGAGTCTGGGAAAGGCTGACCACATGTTGCCTGTTCAGGAGGCTGAGATCTGAGGATTGCAGTTGGAAGCCAATCCAGGCAGAAAAATCCCAGTCTTATCTTCAATAAACTACCAAAAAGCCAGAAATGGAGCTGTGGTTCAAGTGGTAGAAGTGCTGGCTTTGAGCACAAAGCAGCTCAGGGACAGCGCCCAGGTCCTGAGTTCAAACCCCCGGACTGGCACCAAAAAGAAAAAAGGAAAGAAATGCGGAGAACAGCACGCAAACCATGTGGGCCCAGGCGCTCTGCCTGGCCCCTTGTGCCGCGTGACATGGCTGCCCCGTCCCTCAGCGCCACCTGTGGCTGCCGCCACCCGGGGAGACAGCCGAGGACCCGGGACATTACCTGGTTGGGATCTGGGAGTCCTCGCGAGACTGGCCGTCCCTCCCAGCCGGAGGGCGCTGCTCCTCCAGGGATGGGAGGTCCTGGCAGCGGCCGGGGGAGCAGAGCTGCGGGAGGAGAAGCCAGGGGTGGGACGGTGTGTCCCCATGGGGCGGGGATTGCCGTTTCTATGGAGATGGGGCTGCGGAGCATCTTCTACCTCCATCCCCACATAGAGACCTGGGAGCAAGAGCTGGAGTCCCAAGGCCTTCTGGGAGATCATTCAGGATTCAATGGAGCCCTGACCCAACCCACCCCCCAACACCTGCTGTGGGTGAGGGTGGTGGGCAGGAGGGGAGGGGTGGAGGGTCACCTGGTGGGGGTCTTGGAGTCCTGTGGGTTGGTGTCGCTGGAGCCAGGGAGGGGAGGCTGCTGGCAAACAGTGTCCTTTTCTGCTGTGCCTTGGGGAGAGGGCCAGAGGGGGCTTCAGATTCAGAACTGGCATCCGGAAGCCCCCAGTCTGCCGAACAGACGCCACCCCAAGCCCGAGGCGTGGGGAGAGCAGCGAGTTCGAGCCCTCCTGGCCCTCACTGCCCTGGGTCGGGCAGCTGGGTTTGCTGGGGGGGGTCGCTCTCCCCATCTCAGCATCTGTGACCAGAGACCGGGACCAGCAGCAGCCCTCCCCCCCTCAGGGTACTGGGGTGCCAGGCCGGACTAGCCCTCTACTGTACCCCTCCAGCCACACAGACCTGCTCGGGGTAAACACGGCCCAAGCCACGCCTGTCACATCCAACTTCTTTACAAAGCTAGCTGAGCCAGGCACTGGTGGCTCACATCTAGAATCCAAGCTGCTTAGGAGGCTGAGATTGGAGGGCCGAGGTTCAAATCCAGCCCGGGCAGGAAAGTCTCTGAGACTCTCGTCTCCAATAAACGACTCAGAGAAGGCCAGATGTGGTGCTGTGGCTCCAGTGGTAGAGTGCTAGCCTTGAGCAAACACACGCATGCGCACATGCACACACAAACTCAAGGACATTGCCCAGGGCCTGAGTTCAAGCCCCAGGACTAGCACCAAAAAAAAAAAAAAAAGTTAGCTGGAAAGGCCTTCAAGCCTTCAAGTCCCAAGACCCCCTTTTGCAGGTGGAGACCGAGGCCCAAGGGGTGGGGTGCGAACAGAACCCGCAGATACAAACTTTGCAAAGTCCCAGGAAGCCGAGGAGCAGACCAGAGCTCTCCACCCAATGCCCGCCCGCCGGGCGCCAGGCTTCGGCTGCCCCGTGGCCAGTGCTCGTCTGTGACCAGGAGCCCCCTGGGGGGGGGGAGGTAGGGGACCCCACCCAGCCTCAGCTCCACCCAGCTTTCTGTGGGACCAGCTTCTCTGCAGGGTACTGATCAGATAGTTGGGGTGTGACAGAGACTCAGGGGCACACTGCCCTCTGCTGTCCATCCTGGGTGGGAGATGCTCACCCTGGGCAAACCCAGGTAGGGTCAAATGCCCACGTGTGTTCTGTGTGTTTGTGTGTGTGTGTGTGCACGCGCGCTCCGAAAGCCACAGGTGAGGATGTGACTTCCAGAAGCCACAGGTGAGGATGTGACTTCCAGAACAGGGAAGGACCCTCGAGGAAGCAGTACTGGAACACAGAGCTAAAGTGCGTATGATCAACTAAGTGAATGGGAAGGGAAGCGTGTTCCTGAGGGCGGCAGCAGCATGTGCAAAGGCCCTGTGGCAGGGAGAAGCACACACAGATCCGGGAGAGCGGGAGAGTGAAGGATGGGGGTAGAGCCGAGCCGGGACTGCCTGTGGCTCGCGCCTGGAATCCCAGCCGCTCAGGAGGCTGAGATCTGGAGGATGAAGTTGGAGGCTGGGAGACAGACTCTCCCAGATGACCAGCCACAAGCAAGGCGAGGGGCCCTGGCTCGGGAAGCCGGAGGTCCTGAGTTCAAGCGCTACGAGTGCGAAACGAACAAGAGCCAGGCTCTGAAAGGCGAGGGGAGGAAGCCATTTAGGGCCCGGCGGGGGCCGTGGGTGTGAGCAGGTGAATGCACGCATGCGCGTTTGTCCTCTGTGTCCTGGGCCGGGGCACCTGTGACCGCCCCCTGCCCCCCTTTGAAGCACAGAGAGGACGGGAACCTGCCCGAGGTCACACAGCAAGTGGAGAAAGGAAGGCCAGTCCCTCGGCCTGCAGCTGGGAGCCCCGTGGCTGGGACCCTCACACTGCACGCGACTCCTCCAGCCAGGCCTGGCCCCGGCAGGGCGGGGCGGGCCCGGCTGGCGGCTCACCTGGGACCTGGACCACCCACCCCGCAGGGCAGACGGAGTGAGGGGAGCAGCGGGCGCAGGAGTTGGTGGCTGAGGTGGTACAGAACATGCCAGGGCGGCACTCGCAGACGCGGGAGGAGTTCCCAACGCACGGCGCCTTCTCCACAAGGTCATCTGAAGGACACGCGGGTCAGGGCAAGGAGTCAGAGAGTGCGGGACAGGGGTCGGGGGACACCCAAGACTTGCTCAGAGCTGCATGGCCTTCCCGTGGGCAGGGCCCCTGGCACCCTCCAGCTTTCTTTTCTTTTGTTAGTTGTGGGGCTTGAACTCTAGACCTGGGAGCTGTCCCTCAACTCTTCAGCTCAAGGTGAGCGCTCTACCACTTGAGCCACAGCACCACTTTGGGCTTTTTCTGCTTATGTGGTGCTGAAGAATCAAACCCAGGGCCTCATGAGTGCAAGGCAAGCACTCTACCACTGAGCCACCTTCCCAGCCCCTAAAATGTTAATTTTTGTAGCTTTTTTTTTCCCCAGGGCTGAGGACCAAACCCAGGGCCTTGCGCGCGCCGAGCTGGTGCCCTTCCACTGGGCTAAACCCCCAGCCCCTAAAGTGTTAATTTTTAATGCACAAAGGATCTGAATAAGCCAGGAGTAGGTGGCTCACGCCTGTCATCCTAGCTACTCAGGAGCCTGAGACCTGAGGATCATAGTTCAAAGCCAGCCTGGACAGGAAAGACCATGAGACTCCTACCTCCAATAAACGACTAGAAAATCAGAAGTGGTGCTGTGGCTCAAGTGGTAGAGTGCTCGCCTTGAGCTCAAGAGCTGAGGGACAGCGCCCAGGCCCAGAGTTAAGCCCCATGACCGACAAAAAGAAAGAGAGTGGAGCTTAGAAGAAAATAGGTCATTGTGGGTATGGCCTTAGAGCGGAAATTGGGCCTATAGCTCCTTCCTGTTTCTTCTCTACTTCCTGGCTGCCATGAGGGAAATAGGCTTCTTCCTCCATAGGCACTTCCCATGATGCACTGAGCCAAATGAGCGGGGCCTGGCACCTCTGAAAGCAAGAGACAAAGCCAGTCTTTTGCTGGGCGCTGGTGGCTCACGCCTGTCATCCCAGCTACTCAGGAGGCTGAGATCTGAGGATCACGGTTCAAAGCCAGTCCAGGCAGGAAAGTTTGTGAGATTCTTGTCTCCAGAAAACAGGAAGTGATGCTGTGGCTCAAGTGGTAGAGCGCTAGCCTTGAGCTGGAGAGCTGAGGGACAGTGCCCAGGCCCATGGGAGCCTTCAGGAAACACACTACATCTCAGAAAAGTATTGGGCTGGAGGTGTGGTTCCAGTCGGAGAACACCTGCCCAGCAAAGTGTTTGAAGTCCTGAGGTCCGGAGTTCAAATCCTGGCACCACACACACACCCAAAATACAGAGCCAGAAGATCACACTTTCAGAAAGATAAACTGAGTCTCCTGGGAGCCAGGTTGGAGTTTATGCTCACCAAAACCCCAGGCTCCTCACGGGAGTCCCCCCAAGCCCTGGGGAAGGGGATCCCCGAGAACAGCCCCTTACCTCTCAAACAGCTGACACAGGCCGTGCAGCGGCCCGCCTCATTCAGGTAGTAATCGGGCTCACACTGCTTCCTGCAGTCCGCAGACCTCTGCGGGCAGGGCCTCAACTGGGACCAGCCTGGGAAAAGAAGCAGAGAAGTGCCAGGCCAGGCCACTGAGGGAGAGACTTACCCACCTGCCATCTCTGAGCCCCTTCCAGCTCCCGCTACAACCCCTAAGTGTGTCTGTCAGCTTGTGTGCTAGAGATGGCAGGGGGCGGAGGGGGGAAGGAGGGCTGGGATTCCAGAGCAGCTACTTGTCCACTGAGGGCTCAGGGGCAATTCTGATACCTTCATTCACAGTAAATCAGTGGTAAGGCCCATCTCCTAGCCTTGTTGACCAGATTGAAGAGACTGTGTGTGTGGCTTATGTAAAGAGCCTCCAGTAAGCACATGCTGGGCCCTGGCTGTCATTATTCTTGGCAGGGATCCTGTTCTCTGCAGGAATTGGGGGGCAATGGGAGCCATGGCCCCAAGGACCCTAACCCAGGCTGACTGAGAACCACGCAAAACAACACCTGCCCCCACCCTACCGGGACGGAGCGGCAGAGGCTGACGGTAGAAGAAGGGGTAGTGGGCACCTGGGATGGCTCTGGGGATTCCCCTGCCCTCCCACATTCTGTCCAGCCACATTCTTGCGGGCAGGTGCTCCCCACAGTTTGCTACCAAGTCACAACACATGACCCAGGAGGGCCAATCAGCGTGGCTCATCCCTTTCTGCGTTGGGATGAGTACGTGACCCTACAGGCCAATCAGAGCACTCCACCTTTTTTTTTTTTTTGCCAGTCCTGGGGCTTGAACTCAGGGCCTGGGCACTGTCCCTGGGCTTCTTTTGTTCAAGGCTAGCACTCTACCACTTGAGCCACAGTGCCACTTCTAGCTTTTTCTGTGCATGTGGTACTGAGGAATGGAGAGATTCTTATCTCTAATTAACCAGCAAAAGGCCAGAATTAGAGGTGTGGCTCAAATGGTAAAGCACTAGCCTTCAACAGAAAAGCTAGAGAAATGCAAGAGATCCTGGGTTTAAGCTCCAGCTTCAGCATGTACACACACACAAAATTGTTAAAGAAGAAGATAGAAACTGGGCGCTGGTGTCTCACGCCTGTAATCCTAGCTACTCAGGAGGCTGAGATCTGAGGATCATGGTTCAAAGCCAGCCCAGGATGGAAAGTTTGTGATGTTTATCTCCAATAAACCACCAGAACACCAGAAGTAGCACTGTGGCTCAAGTGGTAGAGTGCTAGCCTTGAGCTGAAGAGCTGAGGGACAGTGCCCAGGCCCAGAATTCAAGCCTCATGACTAACAAAAGAAAAAAGAAAAAGTTCTCTCAAATGGCTCATACCTGTAATCCCAGCTACTCAGGAGGCTAAGATCTGAGGATCAAGGTTCACAGCCAGCCAGGGCAGGAAACTCTGTGAGACATTTTTTGTTTTTGTTTTTTTGGTCATGGGGCTTGAACTCTGGGCCTGGGCACTGTCCCTCAGCTCTTCAGCTCAAGGCTAGCACTCTACCACTTGAGCCACAGCGCCGCTTCCAGCTTTTTCTATTTATGTGGTGCTGAGGAATCAAACCCAGAGCCTCATGCATGCAAGGTAAGCACTCTACCACTGAGCCACCTTCCCAGCCCATCTGTGAGACTCTTATCTCCAATGAACCACCAACAGAGTGGAGCTGGGCCCAAGTGGTAAAGTGCTAGCCTGGAGCGAAAAAGCTAAGGGACAGCACCCAGGCCCTGAGTTCAAGTCCCACATCTGGCACCGGTGAGCATTCATGCATGCACGCACACACACACACACACACACACACACACACACACACACACACACACACATTCTAGGCCTGGGTGAAGAGGATTTGAAAAAGTCTGAGCTTGTCAAACCCCAAAATCTCCCAACTTCCTTCCTCCACCAACCTGCCTACGTACAACCGTACCACCCAGGAGCGCTGATGGCAGAGAGCAGACAAAATGTCACAAATTTCCGTACGAGACAGAAGGAGGGTTTTTTGGTTTTCCTCTGTGGCTTGCTCGGAAGCATGGGGTCAATAAAACTCCAGCAAAAGGCCCCACCCAGCGAGCAGGCCCGGTGCCGCTCAGCCTTCTCCTGCACTGGGCCTTGGGGCTGAGGGCGTAAGAGGAAGCGAGGCCCCTCCCTCCCTCCCTAAGTCCCAGCTTCCAAGTAGAGAGCTGGGGTGGGAGGGGACAAGGAGGACAGGAAAGAAGTAGAAAGCAGAGAGCACGTGATTGTTCTCCCTGTGGCTAGTATATTCTTCTTTACAAACATTTTTCCCTTGTGCCCATTCTGGGGCTTGAACTCAGGCCCTGGTTGCTTTCCCTGACTTTTATCCTTGAGCCACAGCTCCACTTCCTGTTTTCAGAGGGTTAATTGGAGATAAGAGGCTCAGGGACTTTCCTGCCTGGGCTGGCTTTGAACCATGATCCTCAGATCTCAGCCTCCTGAGTAGCTAGGATGACAGGTGTAAATCACTGGTACTAGCATTCCTAAAATCCTTGCTCCTGACACTGTCATAAACTCAGCCCCAAGGCCCAGATAGGGGACCGCCCAGACAGCGCCTCCTGGCCCCTGCTCTTCTGAGCCAGTCTTCCCCAGAATCTGACACAGTCGGGATGGTCCTGGGAAACCTGCAACCAATCACTTTGACTTCTGGCTCCCGGGGTCCCCACCTACCCCCTACCCCCATAACCAGAACCTGAGGACCAACACCCGCCGCATGCCAACCCTGGCTCCCTTCTCACCCGAAGGACAGCGGTAACAGCACTTCCCTGAAGCCTGGTCATGGTAGAAGCTGGGGTCTCCGGCACAACTGGACTTCTGGGATAGCTCCTGGAGAGTCAGAGAAGCTGGTGAGAAACCAGAAGGAGCCGGGCGCAGGTGGCTCACGCCTGTAATCCTAGCTACTCAGGAGGCTGAGATCTGAGGATCGCAGTTCAAAGCCAGCCCCAGCAGGAGAGACTGTGAGACTCCTATCTCCAATAAACCACCAGAAAACGGGAAATGGCGCTGTAGCTCAAGTGGTAGAGTGCTCGCCTTGAGCTGAAGAGCTGAGGGACAGCGCCCAGGCCCAGAGTTCAAGCCTCACGACTGGCAAAAAAAAAAAAAAAAAGAAACCAGACGGATCCTAGACACCCATCCCCCTCCAGACTGCAGCCTGGAGACCTTGGTGGTCACCAGTGTCAAGGTCAGGCCTGAAATTTGGCTCATATTAGAGAAGATAAATCAGGATGAGAACTCTGTGTGTGTGTGTGTGTACTAGTCCCGCTTTTTTGTAGTTTTTATTGGAGATAAAAAGTCTCATACTTGGGCTGGGAAGGTGGCTCAGTGGTAGAGCGCTTGCCTTGCATTCCTGAGGCCCTGGGTTCGATTCCTCAGCACCACATAAGCAAAAAAGAAAAAAGCCAGAAGTGGCACTGTGGTTCCATGGTAGAGCGCTAGCCTTGAGCTGAAGAGCTGAGGGACAGCACCCAGGCCCAGAGTTCAGGCCCCACTACCGGACCCAAAAAAAAAAAAATGAGTCTCACACTTTCCCACCTGGGCTGGCTTCCGACTGTGATCCTCAGATCTCAGCCTCCTCAGTAGCTAAAATTACAGGTGTGAGCCACCAGCTCTCAGCTTACTTTTTTTTTTGTCGGTCGTTGGGGCCTGAACTCTGGCCTGGGCACTGTCCCTCAGCAATTCAGCTCAAGGCTAGCGCTCTACCACTTGAGCCACAGTGCCACTTCCGACTTTTTCTGCTTATGTGGTACTGAGGACTCGAACCCAGGACCTCATGCATGCAAGGCAAGCGCTCTACCACTGAGCCACCTTCCCAGCCTTATCCACCTACTTTTAAAGTAGCCGTACAAAAGGGTTTCCGTTCCACAAGTTGGATTATGAGGTGTGTCAGCTACTCAGCCCTTGCCCTGAGTTCTTCACAAAGCCGGGCCCAGCCGCGGTTGTCTCCTCCCACCAGTCCCAGCTACATCAGCAACGGAGTCCGGATACAAGTTTCGGTCTCATGCTGGTCCTAGTGTTTGATCTCAAGGTGCCAGCTATAGAATGTATTGTCTCTGCGCCAAGATGTTTCCCCTGGCTACAGGACAGCTGTAAGATATACTGGTTTTGCTACATGCTAGATACAGAATGTGCAGCCTCTGAGCTGGGACGTGTTCCCTGGCTGCCAGCCAGCTACAGAACGTCCTGTCCTGGCTGGCTGCCATCTCCAGGGGCCAGCTGTGACCACAAAGATTTCCTGCCCCAGCCCCTTCCTTCTGCCCTCAGACTCCTGACACTCTATCCACCTGCGAGAGCAGTTTGCTACTCTCTATCCCGCAAGACATGGCCTGTCAGCCTCTGGATGACATTAAATGCTTCTTCTTTCTCGTAGGTGACTGTGTGTCCGAATGGTTTTCTGGGTTGACGCTTACAAGTACAATGCATTTTTTTTCTTTCTTTTTTTTTTGGGGGAGGTCCAGTCATGGGGCCTGAACTCTGGGTCTGGGCGCTGTCCCTCAACTCTTCAGCTCAAGGCTAGCACTCTACCACTGAGCCACAGCGCCACTTCCGGCTTTTTTCTTTTTGCTTATGTGGTGCTGAGGAATCGAACCCAGGGCCTCATGCATGCAAGGCAAGCGCTCTACCACTGAGCCACCTTCCCAGCCCAAGAACAATGCATTTGGATCAGTTACTTCTTCCATCTTTTTCTCCTACCTTTCCCTCTCCCATCCCTACCCTCAAGTTACATGTTCAAACTGTACATAATGTTCATTGAATACAGCAACTGCCTTTGCCCGCCCTTCCTCCTCCATCCAACTGCACCCCTCTCTTTGACCACCTCTCAGCACGTTGTTTTGTTTTGAGACAAAGTCTCACTGTGTTGCTCAGGCTGACATGGTTAATCTATGAGATGTCTACACAGTGAGCATTGGTGGCTCACGCCTGTAATCCTAGCTACTTAGAAGACTGAGATGTGAGGATCACAGTTCAAAGCCAGCCTAAGCAGGAAAGACTGTGAGACAATTATCGCCAATTAACCACCAGACAACCAGAAGTGGAGCCGTGGCTCAAAGGGACAGCCTTGCTAGCCTTGAGCAAAAGAGCTCAGGGTCATTGCCCAGGCAGAGTGTAAGGCTCATGATGAACAACAAAAGAGATGTCTACATATAAAAATCATGCAGCACTGGGTGCTAGTAGCTCACACCTGTAATCATCACTACTCAGGAGGCTGAGATCTGAGGACAGTAGTTCAAAGTCAGCCCAGGCAGTAAGGTCCCTGAAACTCTAATCTCCAATTAATTACCAAAATTCACGTGGAGCTGTGGCTCGAAGAGTAGAGTGATAGCCTTGAGTGCAAAAGGGACAGTGTCAAGGTCCTGAGTTCAAATCCTGGCACTGGAGCACGCATGCACGCACGTGCACAGACACACACACACGCTGAAATATTTAAGGGTAAAGGTTAAAATGTTTTTAAGCTATCCTCCAAATCGTTTAGCAAAATAAAAAGTAGCCATAATAATTTGTGTATTTACAGAGAGAGAGATCAAGAAGTGAAGCCAGCGTAACAAACCACAAATGAAATGATGGCCGAGGGTAGGTGGCGGGTCCAACCACTGTGCGTCTCTGGCTGGCCACTAGGGGGTGCCATCTTGCTGCTGTCCCTGGGGAGTGTGGGCTCTCCTCCCTGTCCTTCCCAGCCCCACCAAAGAAGAAATAAAGAACATGGGGTTTCTGGAGGAAGTGGCCAGGGGCCGAGGCTTGGGGGTCCCCTGGCCATTCCAGAACAGTAGATGGGGCCTAGGTGTGAGGAGGGGCCCGCAGCTGAGCCTCAGACACCAAGCACCTCCCCAGCCCAACTCCCACCCGACACCCCCACTGGGGTGGGACTGGGGACAAGGGTGGTCTCCAAACCCAGCAGCCCCTCAGGCCCGTTACCATGGGAACCCTGCTCCACAGGCCGGGGGTCCGCTCCAAAACCACATTGGTGGCCTGCTCAGGATCTGAGTGTGGCCAGCTGACCCTCGACCTTGACCCAAAGGGTCTGCCACCCAGAACTGTCGTCTGAAGACATCAGGGTCCCCACCGCCCATGAACTAGTAGCCCCACCCTGAACCCCATGCTGACAGCCCTCTATGTGGCCACCCAAACAGGCCCAAGGCCCAGCACCCCACACACCGCCCGGCTCTGCCCTGCGGTCTCCCTGTCTATCATGCTGACCCCCGCACCGCGCCTTCTTCCCACCCTAAGGGCCCTTCTTTCACCCATCCCAGCTTTGGGCAGACATGGTGGCCTCTGTGGCAGCTGGAGATTCGGACTTCAGAACTTCAGCCACCCACCACTCCATCTGCACGGCCCAGACGCTGGATGGGCCACAAGTACCCTCCCCCACCCCCCTAGCCCAAGAAAGACGCAGCTGGGTCTTGGCTGTGGCACCTACTTGGCAGGAGAGAGGGATGAGAATGGGAGGAGTGGGTGGGGGGTAGCCCGGGGACTGGAGGGGGGCTTTTGGGCGGGGTTTCCCCCGCAGGTTCGAGCGAAGCGAGGTGTGTGCAAGTATGCGGGACTGTAGGTACAGGGGCTGAGCCCCAATCTCGGCTCCATCAAGATGAAAAGAAACCTTGCGTCTCTAGGCCTTCTATTTGTAGGTTCGCTTGGTTTTCCCTATTAGACCTGGTAAATTTCACTTTCAAAAAGTCCCACCTGGTCTCAAGCAGCACAAGGGAAACTCAAATCAAATAACATAAAACAGGCTAGGCCACACCTGTGGAGGGCGGGCTGGGGAAGGAGAGCAAGGCATAAAGCCAAAAGCAAAATCCCCAAAGAGTCCAGAGCTGGTGTACAGTCAAAGTGAGCTCCCTTCCCATCCACAGCGACCCCTCCCCCGCCTGCCCTCTGCCTGCCCGTTACTCCAGGCCCAGGATCACCACCAGCAGCCACAATGGCATATCATCGGGGACCTTGCTAGATACGCCATCCAGGCCCCCACTCCAGCCTGACTAATTGAGGGTTTAATTAAATAAACAGTTGCCAGGGCTGGGAAGGTAGCTCAGTGGTAGAGCGCTTGCCTTGCATGCATGAGGCCCTGGGTTGGATTCCTCAGAACCACATAAGCAGAAAAAGCTGGAAATGGTGCTGTGGCTCAAGTGGTAGAGCGCTAGTCTTGAGCTGAAGAGCTGAGGGACAGCGCCCAGGCCCAGAGTCCAGGCCCCACAACCAGCAAATAAATAAATAAATAGGAGCCAGTATTTGAATAAGCGACCCAGGGAGTCATGCCAGGTTTAACGTTCAAGAACTACTAGGAAGGAGTAGCAATGCAGGAGGATGGGATCTGGAGGATCACAGTGCAGAGCCAGCCCTGGGCAAAAAAGTCTGCAAGACTCCAAAAAAGCCAAGCTGGAGGCATAGCTCAAGTGGTAGAGTGCTAGGCAGAAGGTCCTAAGTTCAAACCCCAGAATTCGAAGACAACAATTTTGCTTCTGGCGGGAAAAGTCATTCTAACAGCTATCACCTCATTGTACAGATGGAGAAACTGAGACACAGGGGGGAAGTTACAAAATTTGCCTAGGGCCTTGTTACAACCAGGATTTGGACACCCATTTGCACACGGTCTTAGCGCTCAGAAACCATGGCCCCCTTCCCCTCCCCCCTACCACCCCCCGTCCTGCTCCAGGCTGCTTTTTGAATTGTTTTCTTGCCTCTGGCTCCCACCTGCCACTGGCTGTTTCACCTGGAGACCTGGAGTTTCACCCCAAATCCGTCAGCTTATCCACCATTCCAGGCCACCTGGGAGTGATCCTGGCTGTCCAAGGGACTCCTTCTCTCCAGTTAACCACCAAAAAGCTGAACGTGAG